GGACGCTCATTCCAATGGTGAAGTCTGTTTTTCGCCACATATTATACTTTGGCCCCTAGAGGCATTCAAAGTTTTTTTTTGGGCGAAGGGGGACCCCCTTAGATTTTCATAAAAACTAGTCCATGGGTACAGTTTTGGACGCTGATTCCAATGGTGAAGTCTGTTTTTCGCCACATATTATACTTTGGCCCCTAGAGGAATTCAAAGTTTTTTTTGGGGCGAAGGGGGACCCCCTTAGATTTTCATAAAAACTGGTCCATGTGTACAGTTTTGGACTCTGATTCCAACGGTGAAGTCTGTTTTCCGCCACATATTATACTTTGGCCCCTAAAGACATTCAAAGTTTTTTGGGGGAAGGGGGACCCCCTTAGATTTTCATAAAAACTGGTCCATGGGTACAGTTTTGGACGCTGATTCCTGCCTCTAGGGGCCAAAGTATAATATGTGGCGAAAAACAGACTTCACCGTTGGAATCAGCGTCCAAAACTGTACACATGGACCAGTTTTTATGAAAATCTAAGGGGGTCCCCCTTCGCCCCAAAAAAACTTTGAATGCCTCTAGGGGCCAAGTATAATATGTGGCGAAAAACAGACTTCACCATTGGAATCAGCGTCCAAAACTGTACCCATGGACCAGTTTTTATGAAAATCTAAGGGGGTCCCCCTTCGCCCAAAAAAAAACTTTGAATGCCTCTAGGGGCCAAAGTATAATATGTGGCGAAAAACAGACTTCACCATTGGAATCAGCGTCCAAAACTGTACCCATGGACCAGTTTTTTTGAAAATCTAAGGGGGTCCCCCTTCCCCCAAAAAACTTTGAATGCCTCTAGGGGCCAAAGTATAATATGTGGCGAAAAACAGACTTCACCGTTGGAATCAGCGTCCAAAACTGTACACATGGACCAGTTTTTATGAAAATCTAAGGGGGTCCCCCTTCGCCCAAAAAAAACTGTGAATGCCTCTAGGGGCCAAAGTATTATATGTGGCGAAAAACAGACTTCACCATTGGAATCAGCGTCCAAAACTGTACCCATGGACCAGTTTTTATGAAAATCTAAGGGGGTCCGAATGTGATTCTGAAAGTGAATCTGAATGCCTCTAGTGGCAAAGTATAATATGTGGCGAAAAACAGACTTCACCATGGGAATCAGCGTCCAAAACTGTACCCATGGACCAGTTTTTATGAAAATCTAAGGGGGTCCCCCTTCCCCAAAAAACTTTGAATGCCTCTAGGGGCCAAAGTATAATATGTGGCGAAAAACAGACTTCACCATTGGAATCAGCGTCCAAAACTGTACCCATGGACCAGTTTTTATGAAAATCTAAGGGGGTCCCCCTTCGCCCAAAAAAAACTTTGAATGCCTCTAGGGGCCAAAGTATAATATGTGGCGAAAAAAAAGACTTCACCATTGGAATCAGCGTCCAAAACTGTACCCATGGACCAGTTTTTATGAAAATCTAAGGGGGTCCCCCTTCGCCCAAAAAAAACTTTGAATGCCTCTAGGGGCCAAAGTATAATATGTGGCGAAAAACAGACTTCACCATTGGAATCAGCGTCCAAAACTGTACCCATGGACCAGTTTTTATGAAAATCTAAGGGGGTCCCCCTTCCCCAAAAAACTTTGAATGCCTCTAGGGGCCAAAGTATAATATGTGGCGAAAAACAGACTTCACCGTTGGAATCAGCGTCCAAAACTGTACCCATGGACCAGTTTTAATGAAAATCTAAGGGGGTCCCCCTTCGCCCAAAAAAAACTTTGAATGCCTCTAGGGGCCAAAATATAATATGTGGCGAAAAACAGACTTCACCGTTGGAATCAGCGTCCAAAACTGTGGACCAGTTTTTATGAAAATCTAAGGGGGTCCGAATGTGATTCTGAAAGTGAATCTGAATGCCTCTAGGGGCAAAGTATAATATGTGGCGAAAAACAGACTTCACCATGGGAATCAGCGTCCAAAACTGTACACATCGACAAGTTTTTATGAAAATCTAAGGGGGTCCCCCTTCCCCAAAAAACTTTGAATGCCTCTAGGGGCCAAAGTATAATATGTGGCGAAAAACAGGATTCACCATTGGAATCAGCGTCCAAAACTGTACCCATCGACAAGTTTTTATGAAAATCTAAGGGGGTCCCCCTTCGCCCCAAAAAAACTTTGAATGCCTCTAGGGGCCAAAGTATATTATGTGGCGAAAAACAGACTTCACCATTGGAATCAGCGTCCAAAACTGTACCCATGGACCAGTTTTTATGAAAATCTAAGGGGGTCCCCCTTCGCCCAAAAAACTTTGAATGCCTCTAGGGGCCAAAGTATAATATGTGGCGAAAAACAGACTTCACCGTTGGAATCAGCGTCCAAAACTGTACACATGGACCAGTTTTTATGAAAATCTAAGGGGGTCCCCCTTCGCCCCAAAAAAACTTTGAATGCCTCTAGGGGCCAAAGTATAATATGTGGCGAAAAACAGACTTCACCATTGGAATCAGCGTCCAAAACTGTACCCATGGACCAGTTTTTATGAAAATCTAAGGGGGTCCCCCTTCGCCCAAAAAAAACTTTGAATGCCTCTAGGGGCCAAAGTATAATATGTGGCGAAAAACAGACTTCACCATTGGAATCAGCGTCCAAAACTGTACCCATGGACCAGTTTTTATGAAAATCTAAGGGGGTCCCCCTTCCCCCAAAAAACTTTGAATGCCTCTAGGGGCCAAAGTATAATATGTGGCGAAAAACAGACTTCACCGTTGGAATCAGCGTCCAAAACTGTACACATGGACCAGTTTTTATGAAAATCTAAGGGGGTCCCCCTTCGCCCCAAAAAAAACTTTGAATGCCTCTAGGGGCCAAAGTATAATATGTGGCGAAAAACAGACTTCACCATTGGAATCAGCGTCCAAAACTGTACCCATGGACCAGTTTTTATGAAAATCTAAGGGGGTCCGAATGTGATTCTGAAAGTGAATCTGAATCTGAGGCTGTCTTGACAGACGTCGTGCAGCGGGGATATCTGAACAATGCACCATACATGACGAAGAGCCAGCAGACCCTGGTGCAGCTCAAGACGGCGGTCGTTGATACCACTCAAGGCCCTATATACCAGGTAGGGTCGTCCGGCGATTCTACCTTTTCGTGACGTCAGCTCGTGACGTCATTTGGAGTCAAGTCTCGAAGCCCCGTTCAATCCTCATGTAAATGAGCGATTTTCGAAGCACTGTAGAATGAAGTCTGCACAAGATATATCAAACTTAAGTATCTTATCTGAAAAAGCAGACAATTTTCTGCAAGTTATCTATTACGTGTTTTTCGCTAAATCTTTTGCTTTTTTCATAAAAGCGTAAAATGTCCCCCCATGTCTCCGCAGCCTCCCTGCCGCCGGCCGCCGCGCGGTCGCGGTAGTGTAGTGGTTAGCGTGCCCGCGCAGTATTCCAAAGGTCCCGAGTTCGAATCTATGCGGTGTGGAACTTTAATTGCAATTCCAAGCTGAACATACGCACATCCATAATAAATTATTATTCGTATAGCTAAACTGTCACCAAGCTATCCATATAAATTGACTTCACCCAAAATATCGGCAAGATTCTATTAAAATATAAATTCAAATATGGCGGCTTGGACTGCCGCGTGCGTTAGGCTCCGCCCATAGCTCCGCCCACATGCGTGACGTCATTCGTGTTAGTGGACACGCAGAGAGATAGGGGACGACATGGGCCTGATACCACTCTTGTGCCTGCGCCCAATGCGCGCCAACGTTGGCGGGGGGGGGGGGGGGGAGCAGTGAGTCATTCAATACGTTGAGCTACTTTGAACATGTTCCATAGCGGCCTGACAGTAGCAAATGTGTGTTGGCTAGCTGCGCAACTGAGAGAACTAGAACTAGGTAGAGAACTAGGTAAAACCGGTTTGCCGCCACAGCACTAAGGTATTTTGACCACTTTCTTCAGCTGGCCATTAAGACCCAAAAACGAAAAATAGGCAACATATTTGGGCCATATTAATTATGCATTTATTAATTTGAAGTGCATTAGCAGAGGGGAGCTGACAAGAAAATCTGTATGCTAATGAAGGAAATAAAATCAAGCAATTCGCACCATTTTTCCAAAGCAATTATTTCAAGTTATAGCCGTTTGTTACACAAATCTCTTCTTTTCTGTTTTCAAATATTAAAATTAATGATAAATCCACAAAAATATCTACAAATAGTGCTTTCTAGAATTTCGAGCATATCCATGGATCGTGACCCTTCTTGAGTTGAGAAGAGGCAATGTTTCAAGACAAATATAGGGTAAATTATCATGTATTGGTCAATAAATGTGGTATATTCAGGCTCAGAAAAGATATTTCTATAACATGAGCTACAATTCATCACAGTATATGCCCTGAATTCTAATATATTCCAAGAAGTGTAAATTAGAGCTGCAGTTCTACACGGCTCCCGCACCACACTTCACACACGATATCTCAAAAACGAAAGAGAGTCGCGGTCTATTTAAAATGTCAAAAAAACGCAGAATTCATTTTCATATAAGCATGAGAATTCTTTAAAAGAGAATCATACGGTAAGACATTGAATTTTGCTCCCAAATATAAAACTTTGCAATTGTCTGTCACTCAATTTTGAACAAAATGGACATTTTGTATAGATCTTCCGCTAGTTGCTACCAAAATTATACCCTATCTGACGGGGAAACTATTTTTCTTTTTTATCTGTGCATGATTATGAGCATAAATAATCGACAGACCAGAAATTTTGCGTCTAAGGTAAGTCACCATTGCATTTGCAGAAGGTGACTCTTTCACCTTGCCTGGATGATTTCTCAAAAACAAGAGGGAGTCGCGATCTATTTAAAGCTGAAAAATGTACAGAATTGATCATTCTATCGATGGTAAGAATACCAAAGACCAAAGCATACGGTAAGACACCTCATTTTTACCTCAAAGCCATAAAAATGTTTTTAATGTGAGGTACGTCGAATCGCAATGGCGTAATTTTATGTTCGACGGTTCCTGCTAATGATGCATCCGCTTTAATACTTCTGCGTTTGCAGGCGTGATTCGATGTTTGATTGGTCCAGAGCAGCTCAGATTCGGAGCAACAACAGCTTGACAAACATTTTTCGTCTTTGTTGTGCATTGTCATGCATTGTATTGTCATGGATGGAGGTTCTTTCATCCATGGTATTGTAATATATACACTTGGTTTAAATTTAATTTGATTTGATAAATTTGAGCCTATTCTTAGTGATATGGGAGTTGTCTTGCAAGTACCCATAAGCCCAAATATATATTTTTCAGTGAAAAGTAACATTATGAAAAAGTTGATGCTGGATGGTTTAAGAAAATGCCTTATGGTCAAAGTCGTGTGTACTGTGTTCCTTACATCAAGCACTGAAAGCATCACCGTGAAGAGACAAGGGTCAAGGAATGAGGTGTTTGTGTGGAAATGTAAGTAATATTTTTTTTTGTAATTTGCTGGCAAAGCTAGACAAAAGCATTGATATCCATATCCACGCTAACAGTGGTTGTCAACATGTGGGTAACAGCGGGTCTGGGTGGGCATCTGGAAGCAGTAAAGACTATCAAAATTGTGTTTTTTAAATGTAAAAAACTGAAGTTTTACCGGGCATGGGCATGGACGACTACTCTTCGTCCAACGACTACTTGTTATCCATTGCCTGGGACAGGCGTTGCCAGCAGCTTTTTTTGTAGGTACGCACAAAGTTGATGCATTGTTGGGTTGGGGTCCATATGCATATACTATATCTGTTTCATTATCTATCATGCTCAGATAAGTTGATGTCACTTGTGACCAAGGTATTTGGGTATGAGTCAGAGCAGTAGCGGCGGAACACCTTCGATTAAGAGAGGGGGGCACCACCGACTTTTGGTCCCATTATTTCCATGCAACACCCATAGGGCTAATGTTAAAATGCCAAAATCAAAGGGGGGCACGGTGCATTGGTGCCCTCCCCATTCCGCCGCCTATGAGTCAGAGTAGAGCAGACATTACAGAAATGTTTTCCAACCAAGGCGAGGCGCTTTACCCAGAGAGTCTTCTTTTTAACACCAAACCAAACCTTACCTGACGTAACCTAACCTACAAGTCAGCTACAACCTAAAATCATACAACCTACAAACCTACAGCTGTGCCTCTCCTTGGTTGGAAACCCTTCATAGTTCATTTGACATCTGCTCTACTAATGCCATTAATTTTAATTTGTAACCTAACCAAACCAAGCCTAATATAATCCAAACCGTGCTCATAACTGTGATAAGTTGCAGTACTAACATCACTTTGATTTTCCTCAGCCCATTACACCATCAAGAGGGAGACCGCACTGACAGGGGTCCAAGATCCATCTCAGGCCCTACTGTAGGTAAGTGTGGACGTCCTGACCTGTAGCCAGAAACACTGCCACTGTAGCACAGCAGCTAATTCCCTATCATCCTTCCAGCTCTGCAATGGTCTGCATTTCTGCAATGGTATCAACAGGCCTAACTGAACACAAAAGCATTTCACTTACTAACATAAGACTAATATTATTCTAAAAATGGTTGTAAAGCGATGTAGAGTGAAATGGATATATGGTGTATATGAATAGAATTGGGTGTGCTGAGACTTGTACTTAATGAACTTGAACAATGAACACTAGAGTAACTAATTCAACTATTTGTTGTTATTCAGACTGCCCGTCAGCAGACGGAGGCCCACCGACGGACGTCGGCTCAATGGCCAACAGTGGCCCGCCGGCCGGCTGACGGTGGCTCGCCGACCGACGCCGGCCCGTCGGCCGACCACGGCCCTCCGGCTGATGGTGGCCCGCCAGCTGACGGAGGTCCGCCGGCCATTCGTAGCACGCCCGCCGACGGCAGCTCGACGCACATCCTGGCCTTAACTATGGCTATGTCACCCCCAAGATTAGTTCGCCCCCCCCCCCCAGTCCCTAGGTGAGTGGCTGGAGAGTGGAGAGAACTTTGTGTGTTGCCGGGAGGGGATGTCTGCTAATGCAGGTGCCGTTGCAGGGGTCGTGACGTATGATGGGTCTCAGACTCGGGCTTCGACTTTTGAGTGAGAAACGCATAAACAGGTTAATGTATTGCAATATTGCAATTATGGCGAAGTGTGCGACAGGAAACGCTATGAGCTATGAGTTATCGTCGCCGTGGCGGAAATGTGAGGACCGTCACAACCTGTGACGTCGCCGTGACTGCTAATTGATGGTCGCCTTGACTCGTGTGTAACGGTCACTGTGCATGGTATGTGACGGCCGCCATGACTGTTAATATAACGGCCGCCGTGACTGTTAATATAACGGCCGTCGCGACTGAAACGTGACGGTCGTCGTGAGATCTGACGTGTCGCGACTCGCTGTGTCACAGGTCACCAGTTGCGGGCGCTCCATCTGACGGTGTCGTCCGACGGCTCCACGGTGACCAGCGCCGCCACTGCGGAAACCATCGGACCCCGAAAATGCTGCTAGCCGTACACGAACAAAAGGCGCCAGGCACCCAGGACCAGCGCCCTGCTCCGAGGCGGTATCCAAAGAAGGCCGCATAGTGCACTTGCTGTGCTAAGGCATAGTGCGCGCTGACTGATAGGAACAAATGACGGTCAGTTATCAGATCTCAGTATGGAACTCAAGATAGTCGGAGCCGACCTGGCCCGGTGGATGGTGTGCCAGGGTTGATTAAGTGTCGAAAGGAGTGAGACGCCCAGATATGTGAAGGATACGTCGATACGAGCCCCGGCTTCGACTCCCCGTCCCAAAACGATGTTGGCTGTGATTGGAGTTTGGTATCTTTACGGATTCCCCCCCACCCCCACCCCGGAATTTGTGCTATGTAATAGGACGATAATATGTCGTGGTCTCATTTTGGCTCCATATGGTAATAGGTACTTAATTGGACAGATGTTGATGGTATTGGTGGTGGATGTAAATGACAGGTTTGGCGAGCGCGAATTAGTAATCGTGAGTGCACTAGCTGCAATCAGTCGCGCGCTTATTGCTGAGCACCTGTGAGCAAGAAAATGGTATGAAAGTGGTAGTTCGTCGTGAAATCTGTGTACTTTTGGATTAGGTTTTCAGAACAGAAGTGTATTTTTGCCGTGTCCACTGCAGCTCTGGAACAGAAACATAGAGATCGGTTGTGTGCTGTAGCAGGGGCAAGTAGTCCGTGCCAAAAAAAAATCAAAGGTGATATGTGAATTTAAGTGAATATACCTCGCTTTATTTTTAATTTTATTATAACAGAACCAATGCGTCGACTGCTGATTACCCTCGGCTCCTAACAATAACGTTTGCAATACTGGAAAGTACATAGACAATAGATACCCTTGCGACCGACTGGCGCGATCCGAGAATCTCTCTCACTGTTTTTGCTGACCTACACACGAAAACACGGCCGAATAGCTATGAGCGAGAGCACGGAACGATGCTGGTTCGACTGACGGACCAGCGAATAATAGAGCTCCCGTCTACGCGCGAAATAGCGCTGATTGGCGCGGCTCACAGACTCCATTGGCTCATCAGAGTTCAGACTGTTGACGGTTGTTGCTCTCTCTCTCTCTTCTTGCACGCCACGCGGCGGGCCCCCTAGGGGGCCCGCCGCGGGAGCACGTCGACGGGGGGTTTGACGCGCCCCACTCCTCGGAGAAACTCCGTGATTTTATTGGCCGGCTCCTGGAAGATTTCACGGAGCGTTGGCGTAAAACCCCAGAGCCGGCCTCGGGTGCGGGAGTATGCGGGACACTCCGTTAGTAGGTGCTCGAACGTGCGTGTAGGCCGAGGCACTTGGCTCCCCAGCTGGGGAGACGCCATCCCCACGAGAAGGGGGCCTCGATGATGGCACGGTTGTTGCTCCTCCCTCCCCTCCCCGAGAGGGCGTAGCTAAGTAGCTTAGTTGTGTGCGCAGCTGGCGGCCACCGTCCAGTCGTCTTTTTGCATCTGTGAAACCGTTGAGTGGATGGTATCCAGACGAGCTAGGCGTCGGCGTCGCCCATCCAGCGGTCGGGCACGGGGCAGCGCAGGTGGACGGCCGCGGATGGTCCGCCACCGATCTCGGCACACTCTGCAGAGTGTGGCCGGACGCTCCACGGACACGGAGTTGCATAGCGTCGATAGGCCGTATGGTGTCGCTGTCGTAATTATGAAAGCGTAAGTAGAAGGTTGAAGCAAGATAGAATGCTATCGTTTTCGAGCTTTGTTACACATAATTAGTACCTAGGTATTGGCCGTTTATTTACAAATAATATCGCAAAGCACAGCTTCATGTGCTGGTAACGATATGTGCGCGTTGGTTGCGGCGGTAATCGTCGAATAGATATATAATTTATGAACGTTTCTTGATCATTCAATGATAAACATGGCAATGTTTGCCTGTTGTGAAGAAGACTCCTATACTGCCGCTCTATCGTCCGGAATTATTCGTGTCTGATAGCGGCGATTCCGCCACTCTATCAGCTGATTTTTGTTTCCGAGTCACGTGACCAACCGGTGTCTCCCTGTATTTTCCTATGGTAAATCGGAGTGATTGGTCGTGTTTTCAGTGTCTCTTTATTTTGCGCTGGTATTGCGTGACTAAGAAGTTTTATCAAGAATGGCATATACTAAAATGTTCCTTTAATAATGGAGCTTCAATATCTGTGAGTTTTATTGGCAAGCGAAAACTGATTTCGCTGTTATTTTATCTGGAAATTACTCATTTTTTTAGGTCAATATTCAAAATATTTTACGGGAACAAGTTGGCACTTTTCTTGATTTTTGCACTCAAATCGCGTGCGATTCAACTGTATTGGAACTTGCAAAGAAGCTTGGTGATTAATTAACTGTGTTGTTATGGCACTGTTTGCAAAGCATGGATAATGAAACTCTGCCAAAGACTTAGTAGCTACATAGCAATGCCTCAAGTAATACGCAGGAGGGACAGAATTCAGAGTCCGATCGAGAAGAATCGGTGCAAATGCTACGAAGACCAGGCAGCTCTGATACAAGCTAGTCGTCTCACTACTCTCACTCCATTAGATCAGCTGATTCCTGACAGCACCGACTCGGATGCAAAGATGGAGCTCATCTTCCAAGCCAGAAACCAGTTCTTTGATGGAAGATGTGATGCTGCCTCTGTCTCTGCTTTGTTGGCCACTTTGGACGGGGCGGAGCTCCGCTCCTTGCGTGAGCGGTTATTCGCCTGTCATACACAAATAGTTCCTTCGTTTGCTGGCCGTTCCCTGATTAGGTGCAATACGGGGAGCTGTAATCAGGGAAGTAACTTTCCATATGAAAGGGGTGCAGGTGCACCCCCGTCCCCCATCCACTAGAAGTGCACCCCCATAGGCTAAGCGGCGCCCCACACGCCGCCCCACACGATTAGCTCTATAGAGCAGATGGCGAGGGTGATTTCTCGGCTACATTCCATCTCGGCGTCGTGACGCTTGTGGGCTTGGAAAGCGTCCAGTCGTATGTAGGGTAGTGTAGGGGTAGGGTTGAGTTCAATAAGGTCTTTACATTTGAAAGGTTTGAACAACCCGCAATCAGCACAACATACCACAAGTTAAATAAAAAACTACCAAACTCCGCCCAACTAATATTAATAAACATTACAGCCAAACTAATGGCCTAAATAAAAATATATCTCAAATCCTAACAGTTATCGCGGGTGATGGCGCCATGAGTTGCTATTATCCAAAACAGATGCAAATAAACATGTTTGTATGTCCTATGTATGTTTGTTTTAAAAACGTTGCAGCGGCGCTGGGAACTACGTCTGTATACTTAGCGAATTATTGACATTGACGTTCAGCGACAGATTCGCGGACCCCTAGGAATCCGCTGAAAATCCCTATAGGGGTAACTTGGGGCGTAGAGTCGCGTGGTGCAATCCGTTAAACCCTACACCTAACACTTTTCCCGCTAGAGGGCAGCAAAGTTCAAGCAACAGGTCCGCCGGACCCCTAGGATTCCGCTGAAAATCCCTACATGGGGGTAACCTGGGGCGTAGAGTCGCGTGGTGCAATCCGTTAAACCCTACACCTAATACTTTTCCCGCTAGAGGGCAGCAAAGTTCCAGCGACAGATTCGCCGGACCCCTAGGATTCCGCTGAAAATCCCTACATAGGGGTAACTTGGGGCGTAGAGTCGCGTGGTGCAATCCGTTAAACCCTACACCTAATACTTTTCCCGCTAGAGGGCAGCAAAGTTCCAGCGACAGATTCGCCGGACCCCTAGGAATCCGCTGAAAATCCCTACATAGGGGTAACTTGGGGTGTAGAGTCGCGTGGTGTAATCCGTTTAACCCTACACCTAATACTTTTCCCGCTAGAGGGCAGCAAAGTTCCAGCGACAGATTCGCCGGACCCCTAGGAATCCGCTGAAAATCCCTACATAGGGGTAACTTGGGGCGTAGAGTCGCGTCGTGTAATCCGTTAAACCCTACACCTAATATTTTTCCCGCTAGAGGGCAGCAAAGTTCCAGCGACAGATTCGCCGGACCCCTAGGATTCCGCTGAAAATCACTACACAGGGGTAACTTGGGGCGTAGAGTCGCGTGGTGCAATCCGTTAAACCCTACACCTAATACTTTTCCCGCTAGAGGGCAGCAAAGTTCCAGCGACAGATTCGCCGGACCCCTAGGATTCCGCTGAAAATCCCTACATGGGGGTAACCTGGGGCGTAGAGTCGCGTGAAGCAATCCGTTAAACCCTACACCTAATACTTTTCCCGCTAGAGGGCAGCAAAGTTCCAGCGACAGATTCGCCGGACCCCTAGGATTCCGCTGAAAATCCCTACATAGGGGTAACTTGGGGCGTAGAGTCGCATGGTGCAATCCGTTAAACCCTACACCTAATACTTTTCCCGCTAGAGGGCAGCAAAGTTCCAGCGACAGATTCGCCGGACCCCTAGGAATCCGCTGAAAATCCCTACATAGGGGTAACTTGGGGTGTAGAGTCGCGTGGTGTAATCCGTTTAACCCTACACCTAATACTTTTCCCGCTAGAGGGCAGCAAAGTTCCAGCGACAGATTCGCCGGACCCCTAGGATTCCGCTGAAATAGGGGTAACTTGGTCGCCCGACCCCTGGGATTCCGATGAAAATCACTACATAGGGGTAACTTGGGGCGTAGAGTCGCGTGGTGCAATCCGTTAAACCCTACACCTAATACTTTTCCCGCTAGAGGGCAGCAAAGTTCCAGCGACAGATTCGCCGGACCCCTAGGATTCCGCTGAAAATCCCTACATAGGGGTAACTTGGGGCGTAGAGTCGCGTGGGGCAATCCGTTAAACCCTACACCTAATACTTTTCCCGCTAGAGGGCAGCAAAGTTCCAGCGACAGATTCGCCGGACCCCTAGGAATCCGCTGAAAATCCCTACATAGGGGTAACTTGGGGTGTAGAGTCGCGTGGTGTAATCCGTTTAACCCTACACCTAATACTTTTCCCGCTAGAGGGCAGCAAAGTTCCAGCGACAGATTCGCCGGACCCCTAGGAATCCGCTGAAAATCCCTACATAGGGGTAACTTGGGGCGTAGAGTCGCGTCGTGTAATCCGTTAAACCCTACACCTAATATTTTTCCCGCTAGAGGGGAGCAAAGTTCCAGCGACAGATTCGCCGGACCCCTAGGATTCCGCTGAAAATCACTACACAGGGGTAACTTGGGGCGTAGAGTCGCGTGGTGCAATCCGTTAAACCCTACACCTAATACTTTTCCCGCTAGAGGGCAGCAAAGTTCCATCGACAGATTCGCCGGACCCCTAGGATTCCGCTGAAAATCCCTACATGGGGGTAACCTGGGGCGTAGAGTCGCGTGAAGCAATCCGTTAAACCCTACACCTAATACTTTTCCCGCTAGAGGGCAGCAAAGTTCCAGCGACAGATTCGCCGGACCCCTAGGATTCCGCTGAAAATCCCTACATAGGGGTAACTTGGGGCGTAGAGTCGCATGGTGCAATCCGTTAAACCCTACACCTAATACTTTTCCCGCTAGAGGGCAGCAAAGTTCCAGCGACAGATTCGCCGGACCCCTAGGAATCCGCTGAAAATCCCTACATAGGGGTAACTTGGGGTGTAGAGTCGCGTGGTGTAATCCGTTTAACCCTACACCTAATACTTTTCCCGCTAGAGGGCAGCAAAGTTCCAGCGACAGATTCGCCGGACCCCTAGGATTCCGCTGAAATAGGGGTAACTTGGTCGCCCGACCCCTGGGATTCCGATGAAAATCATTACATAGGGGTAACTTGGGGC